TTTTTTTTGACAAGGCCGAGTGTTTTTCCAGTAACCAAAAAGTAGTCCAAGTCACCAAAAGAGCCTAGATACTAATTAGATGGATTAAGCCAAAAGTCATGCTTATGTATTCCAATGTCTAGAGTCAAGTATCGACAACTTGGAACTCGAACAAATGACTTCCTAACCAACTAGTCATGAAACAAAGATTTTGTTTTTTTAACAATGGGGCATATGAAATGAATGATGTACGTGTTGAAAGGGTTTTCAAACAGTGGTACTCCTTTTCTTTTTTCTCTCTCTCTCTCTCTCTCTCTCTCTCTCTCTCTCTCTCTCTCTCTTTTAAACTGGAAATTTTAAAAAAAGAAACATAGAAAACAAGCACTAAAAATACATAGAAAAACACATCAAAACATATACAAAGACATGAAACATCATCCCCGCAGACCCACTCCCCCATGTTTGAATTACACATTGTTTGCAATGTGTAAATAACAGAAAAGAGGAAGAGAAAAGGGATTGTCTTCTCATTATGGTGATGGTGGAGATGAATAACCATGAAGTAGGAACCATTAGTGCATGTGTTGCATCAAATCATTTATTGTTCCAAGTGTATTGCCAAAATTGTCCAAGCGGGTGGCCATGATGAGAACAGATCTGGAATTTTTAGATGTTGAATGGAAGAATGTGGGCTGTGAAGGTTGGCGTTGCTCTGGACGGAACGACAAATGTGGTGATTGTTTTGATTGTGATGGGTGACGGTGGTGAGGCGCGGGTGATGAGGAGAAGGGAGGCAGTGGTGGTTGCTGCGGGGAGGAGAAGGGAGATGGTGGCGACAGTTTGGGTTAGGCCAAAGAAGATGAAAGGAGTGTGTGTGGTGGGGCGGGGGGGGGTCGGGGGCGGCCCTGTGGGGGGGGAGGAGAGTGCTGGAACGAAAAGAAAAGGGGGGTGCCTGGGCATTTTTTTATTTCTTCTCTCCATTTTTTCATTAGTTGTGGATAAGTCAATTATTAGTTGTGGGCAATTTTTAGATCTGGAATTAGTTGTGGATAAGTCATTAGTCTGGATAAGTCAATTATTATAAGTATTTTCACTCTAAGATACGTCTTTCAAAATTTAACCATGTTCCGAGATTATGACACAGAAACAACACAAAGTTAATAAACTACACTAATTCAAAACTTACCAGCGTTGATCACTAAACCACAATTTGTTCCTCAAAATAAATTTCACCTTGATCAAGCTTTCATTTTAACTCATGCATGTAATTCTTTCCTTGCTAAAATTTTCTTGCAAATTTTACCCCTCTTATACCGATTTGAGCAGCAGTTAAGAAGAAAGATCTCTACTACCTAGAATTTACTGTCAAGTAATTCCATGCCTTTAGTATGAAGAAAAGACACAAAAGAGAGTTAGTTAAGACTTAAAAATTGGACTAACAACGCTCATTTCAAGCAAGAATTTTAATTAAGCAACTTATATGTAATTTATATATATTTTTATTTTTTATTTACAGATTTCAACAAATTAGTGCATCCATTCAATAGGATTGTAAGAGAGGAAAAACATCGACCTATAACATTAAACTCATAAATTAGTGCATCAATACTTTATACTTTCTTTTTATACCAACTCCCCATTGTTCAACGAGAACTTTCTATTTACAGATTAATTTATACTTTAGACTTAAAAAACATTCAAAGCTTTTTACTGTTACAATTCATCGTTCTAGAAAAGGAACTCCATAATGCAAATTTAAAACCTAAGTATAAGTCAATTAAATAGACAGAAGATACAATCACTTCTTCCCAGTAAAATTGGAGTTACAGAAGAAAACTGAACAAATATCAAGCCAAATTTAATTGACCAGATAACTATATCTCATTTTATTTATTCACATATTACAACAGTAACGGATTTATTTTTTTGTAAATCAGTCAGAAACATTGAATAAATAATCAGATAACATGAATTAGACTCCCTAGTATCTAATAGAAAACAATAACTTTTCCATGTTAAAAACTCAAAACGCTGACCTACTCACAAAAATGAAACAAAATTCATTCATTCATATTCATTCATATTCATTCAAATAAATTAGGTAACACATAAAAAGTAGGATGAAGAAATAGCTAAAATTTCACAACGAAACTGAACCAGATTGCTAGGAGATGAGATAGATCAACCAAATTTAATGAATCTAGCATGAAATTAAGCATAAAAATACCAAAAAATAGGAAAACAATAGATTACAAAATTTCATGGTTTTGATATCAAATTATTCATCAACTATTCGATGAGAGGGAATATCATGGAGAAATTATACATGTAATTGTCGAAATCCAACAAATCAAGCAAAATCCGACGAAATCCCTCAAGGAAGATAGTGAATCACAAATTAATACGGACATGCAGACTCAAAAAGTACACAAATTATTTGTAAAAGGTTTTTTTACCTTTCCAGTGAGAAAAATCAAAGAATCACGACAAATCTAAACTAAAAATCAAAGAATCATGGAGAAATTATACCTGTAATTGCTGAAATCCAACAAATCAAGCAAAATCTGACGAAATCCCTCAAGGAAGGCAGTGAATCACAAATTAATATGGACATGCAGACTCAAAAAGTACACAAATTAATTGCAAAAATATTTTTTTACCTTTCCAGTGAGAAAAATCAAAGAATCACGACAGATCTATAGAGATCGATGGAAGTGGGCGTCGTCACAGGGAGGGACGACGACGTCGTCGGAGAGGGGGGAGAACGTCGTCGGAGCGGGAGGAGGGCGTCGTCGCGGCTAGGAGGAGCACAGGTCGTCGATGGGGACTTTGGTTGGGAAGTTCAGCTGCCAATTGCCAGATCTAGGGTTTATGAGATGTGAGAAACATATTTAGATGTGAGAAACATATTTAGATGTGAGAAACATATTTATATGTGGTCATGAGATGTTCGGAACAAATCTCAACCGTTGGTTGATGATCCAAAGGATATGTGAAGCCCTAACTCACTTAACAATGTATATTTATATATGTGTAGAAGTTGTAATAAAATTTTTGATAAATTACATAGGAATTTCAACTTAAAAGAGAATTTGTAAATATAAAGACTTACTTTCTTTTGTAGAACAACAAGAAAAATAACAAATGAAGAAATAGATAATAGCAAGACCAATTTAAGCTACTTTACTTTTCCAAAATAACACTCCCTCGAGATACAAAATAAATTGACATCTTGAATAGTAATTGGCTACAAAATTTTGCCTTTGACAAAACTTTGGAGAGATGTTTAACTAATTTAGTAATATATTAAATTGGTGATTCTTAATCTAGGAAATTTAGAGTTGGCATTATATATTCTTTAGACCAAGAATGTATAAGCATTAGATGACAATATTTTTGGTAACATATAGACAATATTTTTGGTAACATATATTTTTATATGATTTATGTTTTTTAATTTTAAGTGTATAATAATCAAATCAAATGTATTAAAATTTAGAGAGACGTAAATTTAAAATACAATGATAAAAAAATTAGTTGTCGTGCTTTGCACGAGGTACATACTAGTGTTTTGGTAAGCCACATGGGTTTTTTTTGGGGTGGGGTGTGGTGGGGTGGGGGCGAGACATAAGCAGAGGGAGGGACCAATGTTTAGGGATTGATAAGGAATTTCAAAGATTTGAGGAACTAATCAACTAATATGTAATTTTTGAACATTTGAGGGACTATAACAAAAGAAATAACCCAAAACTTGCAACTATCGGACAAGGTTCAAAGGCCCAATAGCATTTGCTAAAGCAATTAAGTAAAGTGGCTACCCGTAGAGTTCAAAAGGCCTAGTCGGATGTTTTCGAACCTGCAATCTATTTTAACTAGTGCCCGACCCGTGCGACCGACGGGCTTCCCTTTTTTTTTATTATCGCCATAGTAATCTTATTTTTTGATTGCTACAGGCTTTTAAAATGATACAGTGATATTTTTAAATGTTACATATTTTTTAAAATACACAGTAACCGCTTCTGTTATAATGATATATTTTTGAAAAAAGCTATAGTAATATTTTTTAAAAATGCTATAATATCCCGTCTATACTACAATATTATTTCTTTAAAAATGCTACGATAATAATATTACAATAAATTACTGTGTCATTTGCTATAGCATGAATAGCAATTATTGGGTCCTCCATTATTATAGTGGAACTAGTGTGAGCACCATTTTTGCTACAATAATCCCGGATTTAGTTGTTATAGATAATTTTTGGATTTTTTTGAATTACTACAGTATCCCGTCTCCGCTGCATTGTTCGGTATGCTACAGTAATATTCCCTAAAAAATCTATTTTTTATTTGCTACAGTGATAACGCTACAGTATCGTTTACTAAACATGAATAGTAAACATTGGTTTCCATTTGTATGGGGTGGTTCTACATGGACCCCAAAAAATAACACCCCTGTGGGACATGTGAGGTGTCACTTCTTGGTGGGGTGATTTACTATTTATAAACAGTAAATCACCCCATCAAGGGTGACACATTTTTTTGGGGTACCGAGGCATTTTTCTTTGTATGGAAGAGTAGATAGATAGCTTTTCAATTCAGGTTCGGGATTTGGTTTGGCGCTGTTTTGCCTCGGATGTCCATTGTTCTTTCCAAATTCGAAACAGGAGAACCAATTTCTGCCCTAATCCGTAGTCGACGGAGACCTGCGCCAGCATCAATCAAATTATCTACAGGAATGGAATCGATAAAGGTGATTCTTTGATTCCCCTCTCTTTATTTTAGGGTTTTAATTGGTTTCCCCAATATTTATCGATTGAGCGTTTTGATTAGAGATTCCCAAGAAGGGAATTGATCAGAAGGTTACTACTTTTGTGAGCTCGGTGAAGAGGAAAAGGTTAATGGATGTCACTAACATAGTGGGCTCGTCGATGATGGTGATTTCAGAGGAGTACATTGCCCAGCTAAAGGAGTTGTCAATTTGATCCCCAACTTGATTTCTATAGTTAGGTAATTTGTTTCATTTTTGGGTTTCGGTTTATAAACCCAAAGTTTTACCCTGATTTATATTTAATCATACCCACTTCTAATATCATTCTTAAAGACTTAAACCCAAAATGCCATACTGAATTATTTCTATAATTTGGCATATCATTGTAAGTACAGAAAATGAGTTCAAAATTAATATAGTTTGCTAGTTGGGTTTAAGAATGATTTTGTAAGTGGGTGGATTTAAAAATAAATCATGGTCAAACATTGAACAAACCCTTTGCCTTTTCCTTCCTTATTTCAGAAGTAATGTGTCCTGATTTCAGGAGAATGCTAAGCTGCTTATGGCTATTGCGGAGAGAAAGTATGTAGAATCTGTTAAAAGAGACTGGTCTTTTTATAACAAACTAGTATTTATCATGATGGATCAAGAGAGGGCAGAATTATATAAGCCTGATATGTACTATATCGAAATTCCTCATTATTTGCAGTTTCTGAAAGGGAAAAAATAAAAGAATTAGAAGCAAGTGAAATGACAATTTTCTCTAAAGATTATATACTATATACATCTTTTCATCACATGCTTAGAATATTTATAGCTACGAATGAATACTATCATAATTTATTACTGATTTTTGAACCATAAAAAAGTGACTCTTGCATACCATTCCAAAATAACTGATTGACACATAAAGACTAATAACAAAATGTAACTCCTATTGCATTTAGTATGTGTTATTAGACATTAAAGCTGTGCAAACATTCAAGCCTATGGTTGGCCTTGCATACTAATCCACGTCCATAAAAATATGCTTTGAGTTATAACAAACGCACCATTCAAAGTTATAGTATAGTTTACAAAATATATTATAGTAGAGTTACATATAGATATATTAAATATATTTTAGTATACATTCTTCTTTTATGTATAATATATTATAGATATATCAAACTGTGGTAATTATTTATATCATACAAATTCTAAGTGTACATATTTGTTTGATTATAATTATAATTTTATTATAATGTATAATATATATATATATATATATATATATATATATATATATATAAAGTTCATTAATTATTAATATCTAAACTTTAGTATAATTTTTTTATACTATAGTTTAGAATTATATATCTAACTATACTAAATATAAGATTGGATGTTATGTGAAAGGATATAGTTTATGTATGTATGCATGTAGACACACTTGTTATCCTTTTATTGGGATCTTCAATGAACCATAGAGAATAAGTAGCAAAAAGCTTTATATGAAACACATCAACATAATTAGAACTACAATCCTAAAGCAAATGATTCGTGGCAAAATTATTTTAGCATTAAAGGATAGACTCGATGACTGTCATACACTCGTACACAAAGAGTCTCTCTCTTTATGAAATTATCTTTTTTCCCTAAATCTTTTTTTCTCAATTTACCCCAAATACGTAAGCTGAAAAAGAAACAAAGAGATGTGGATAAGAAATGAGTTTCTCCTATTACGACAACTCACACCACATTGAAACTTCAACTTAGATAATATAAATGCATTCATCCATGCACAAAAGTATTAAAAAATGTGAATTGGAAGAACTCATGTCCCATCTTCATCATGAGCTCCTCCGACACACTCCTGCTTCATCGAAACCTTCATCACCACCTCCAAATGCACATCCGTTGCCTCAATCGAATTACCAGCAACTATTTCCTTCGTTAGACCCATCACCTTCACCAAATTTACCTCACCGTTAATGTCGAGTTTGCCTCAATGCCAGAAGCATGCCTTTTAGTATTTGAACTCCCCGTCTTCCTTCAATTTCCTTGCATTGGCAGAACAAAGAAGAGCAGCAGAGGAAAAAAAGTAGAACTTGGACACTTTAATCATTTGATTTGATCTAGTATTTGTTATGTGAAGAGTGGGAGAGGAGGGACCTGGGAAGGAGATCATATAGAGAGTGAAATGAAACAAATGGAAGTTGGAGGGGTTCGTGATAATTTGTTGGATGTATCAAGAGAAGCTCACTTGTCAAAGGTGTTAATGCACGAAAAGAAACTTTCCAAACTGTTAATTTTCTTATTTATCAAATATTTCCATTAGAGGGACATTAAATTTTTCACTCATTAGAAAATCATTAGAGAAGTGTGAACTATTTTCTGACTTGGTTTCTGTCTCTTAGGCACTATAAACTATTTAAGTCTGAATAAAATGTTTCATCTATGCCTTTACATATGCGCACATAAACACCAAGTTATTGTTAATAGTTTGATTAGATAACGATTAATTTATTAATTTAATTAGAGTTACATAATTAATTATTTCAATTTTTATTTATAACCATTCCAAATGAGATATAAATGTTATATGCAACTGACAAGCACTAAAAATTTTCATGTTTAATTATAATTTTATACTATTAAAATCTAATGTTTAATATAATTTTGTACTACTATAATCTAATTGGAGTTGCATTATTACATAAATAATAATTCCTACAGTATATTAAAACATCATACACTTGATAATCTAATACTATTATAATAATTGATTTAATTATTATATTAGATTTAATTATTTTATAATCTAAAGAATAGTAATACTATAATATAAACCTTTAATTAATGTGATTTAATAAGATTGGGAGTTATGATAATAGAGTAAATTGGTTAATTTCATGAAAGATGAGGGACATTTTTGGAAAATGAAAGTTTTTCTAATACTCCCTCTTGTAAAGGGAGTGATTTAGCTTTTGTTCTCAGGAACTGGGGCTCGAGCTTTGACTGATTGATAGTTATTGGTTTAATTAATTGGATACAGTAAAATCATAGAGTTAAGCAATGTAGAGTTGCAGAAGCTTCAATTCACAGTGGAGAAATCTTATCAACAGAATAGGATGCTTGCGCAGGCTAATTCTAGGATGCTTGCAGTTTGTTACTTACCTTGAATTCTAAAGTACAATGTTTACACCCTCATTTCTATTTTCTCATCTGATAGTGCTTTCTAAATGTGCAGGAGCTCACCTCAATGAAAGAGAGAGTAAGTTTGATTATTTTAATCCTGCATTCTTTGAACTTTGGAGCTTAGTATTTCTCCTGACTAGTCAAAATCTTATTTTGGTACTTGTTAAAAAGCAGCTTAAGACAATGCAGCATGAACTTGGATGTACCGTGGCAGTACTCAGAATGAAGAATTTGGCATTGGATGTAAGCCCAGAACTAAGGTTATATCGCGTTCAAATTGTTAACCATATCAAATTTATCATTGTTATAACTTTTGTTAGGAGAAGGAGAAACTGAATAAAGAACTGAGCGAGAAGATCAGAATTGTGGTATTCAAACAAGCTCATCTTGTCGCTGGAAATATTTGTATGTTGCCTTTAGCTTTTTCAACACTGATTTTCTTAACTTGGTAACAATCAGGAGGAGCATGCTAATAATGCTGTGGATGCAACAATTATAAGACCAACCCAGTTAGTTAGTAACAGCATGAATCCACAATCAGATGTGAGAAGGAATTGATTGTTATATTCTATTATTTTTTCTCTTTGCTATTATTCGACAATTATCTCGTTGTGAACACCTTTTATTCATGTAGGAAAAGGAGCTGTACAATGAATTTTGTGAGAATGCCAGAGCCGAGGTATATCACCGAAGCTTCATCTTGATCTGATCTATGCATTGTTTTCCTTATACTGTCTGTCGATGCTTACCTGTTTTAACTTGACAATGTTAAGCAGCACTCCACTGTGTGGAGGATACAACGGGTGCATCAATATCTTACTCTAATAGTAATAGCCTGTCCACCAACAGCGATAGGAGGTGTATACTGAGAAAGAAAAGTAAGAAGCAAGAGCAATATAAGTGATTCCCTTTTATTTTCTAATTACCTGGAAAAACTTACTTGTTTATTTCTTTATTCTATCTAGACTTTTCCATCCTAATTGAGTTGCAAATGCAGGCTTCACTACCTTGAACCATCAAACAGCGAGGAAAACAGATAATGAACCGGAGAAGGTCATAGCTGAGGTACTCAGCTACACATCCTCTTTTCCTTAGTTTGTTTCTCTCGCTACTTCTTGATTTGCAACTTTTAAGCAAAGGACTCGAGTATGTTGAGCTTGCAACAGACTCACCATGGTTAAAGTTAGTAAAAGTGGTGCCATACCCTAGGAACTAAGAATTGAATGCAACTCTAGGAACTAAGAATTGAATGCATCGACTGTCATGTGATATTCGATATGTTGTCTTATTATTGAGTTTCAACAGTTAATATCCCCCTTCTTCCCTTTTTCGGAGAGGTTGAAGAAAGAATCAAGTGAGAAGAACAAGGATGCCAAGGTATTTGGTGACGCTCCCCTTTTAAGGAAATTAGTTTGGTTACACAAATATTTGGCTGACATTGCCTATTCTAACTTCCAATTTAAGGAGCTCTCCAAGTGCGCTGAAGTTGGGACTGACACATCAAAATGCCATATAGTTGACAGTGACATGGCTTGTGAAACCAACAGAAGGCCGAACACTTAGAAGTCACAATAAGTGAAGTGTTGGTTTGGGTGTAGACCAAACCTGTCAGGCGAGCTCGAGCGGGCGATGAGCTCCTTCAGGCGAGCTCGACAAGATCTGCAGGCGAGCTCGGGGTCGAAGTTCAGGCGAGCTCAACTACGCAGCGCAGGCGAGGAACTCCAAGCGAGCTCGGGGTTGAGGCGAGATGCAGGCGAGCTCGGTCGACATCAGGCGAGCTCTGAGTCGGGTTGACACAGACGACGTGGAATCAGGCGAGCTCAAGCGCTCGTTTGAGTGCGGGACAGGCTGTCGACAGCCCACCTAGGGTTTCCTTATAAAAGAAAAACCCAGAGCCCCCTCTGTTGCTTCTTCTCTCTCTCCTTCTCACGACTATAAGCCTTGGCGGCGACGACCTTCTCTCTCTGCTCTCTTCTTTTTCTCCAGCGTTCTCTCAAAGATTTGAGGGGAGGGGGATTTTATTAAGAAGGGAATTGTTGATTGTGAGGGAGGAATTAAAGAGGGGGGAATCAACACTGTAGCAATCAACACTACTGTAGCTATAGTGTTGATTATATTTTATTGAGAGATCTTAAATTTGATATCTGATCTTGTATTGTAATTTCTTGTTGATTAATAAGAAATTAATTGTGTGGCTTCTGAGAACGTAGGCAAGTTTGCCGAACCTTGTTAAATCTTAGTGTACTTTTCTCTATACTACGTTTTTGTTGCTTTAGGGGTTTAGTGTAGCCCCGGGTATTCCCCAACAAATGGTATAAGAGCTTGAAACGATTTAGAGGAAGTCAGATTCAAGTGGGAGCAATGGCCGCAGATGAAGGAAATATGAAATTAGAGAAGTTTGATGGATCAGATTTCAGATTCTAGAAAATACAGATAGAGGGTTATCTGTATCAGAAAAATCTGTATCAACCTCTCTCAAGGAAGAAGTCGGAGGGTGTGAAGGAAGAAGATTAGAATTTTCTAGACAGAAAGGCCCTCGGGGTTATTCGTTTGACGTTAACCCACAATATTGCTTTTAACATTACAAATAAAAAGATCACGACGGGTCTTATAGCAGCACTCTCAAAATGTATGAGAAGCCATCAGCCTCAAACAAAGTTCATTTGATGAGGCGATTATTCAATCTGCGAATGACGGAAGGTGCATCAGTAGCACATCATCTCAATGAACTCAATACAGTCACGACCTAATTGAGTTCAGTTGATATTGAGTTTGATGAAGAAGTACGAGCGTTGATCCTTTTATCTTCCCTACCAGAAAGCTGGAATGCTACAGTCACAACTGTGAGTAGCTTGTCGGGAAGCAACAAGTTGAAGTTCGATGACGTTCGTGATCTAGTTCTCAGTGAGAAGATCCGACGGAGAGAGTCGGGTGAAGCTACAACCTCTTCAATATTATATACAGAGTCAAGAGGTAGAAATTCAACCAGAGGAAATAGATTAAAGGATAGCGGTCCAAATCCAGGAATCTCAGCAGCTCAAAGGCTATTGAGTATTGAAAGTGCGGGAAAACTGAACACTACAAGAATCAGTGCAAGAGTACACAGAAGGAGTGGGAGGCAAAGGCAGATGCAAATGTTGCTTCCACCTCAAGAGGAGATGATGCATTGATATGCTCTTTGGAGAACAAGAAGGAGCCTTGTGTGTTGGACTCTGGAACATCATTCCATGCTACTTCTCAGAAAGAATTTCTCGAGAAGTATATCCTCGAGAACCTTGGAAATGTATACCTTGATGATGATCAACCGTGTGCTATTATTGGCAAAGTTGTAGTAAGATTAAGTTGAACGGGTCAGTATAGGAGCTGAAGGATGTCAGACATATTCCCGATCTGAAAAAGAACTTAATCTCAATAAGCCAGGTGGCTAGTGAAGGATACACTATGACTTTCCATGGTGATGATTGGAGGATTTCGAAGGGCGCAATGACGATTACCCGAGACAAGAAGAAGGATACCTTGTATATGATAGCGGGTGCACATTGTTTGATTTCAATTACAGTAGACAATGAGACTTCAAAGCTGTGGCACCAGAGACTCAGTCATATGAGTAAAAATGAGATGAATATTATGCATACAAAGGGAAAACTCCCAGGTTTACAATCAGTAGAGATTGATATGTGTAAAGAATGCATATTTGGAAAGCAGAAGAGAGTCAGCTTCCAGACAAGTGGCAGAACCCCTAGGAAAGAGAAGCTAGAGCCCGTTCACTCAAATGTTTAGGGACCAACCACCACCGCGTCCATTAGTGAAAAACACTACTTCGTGACTTTTATTGATGATCACTCTCGAAAAGTATGAGTCTACTTTCTGAAACACAAGTCAGAAGTGTTTGAAGCTTTCAGGAGATGGAAAGTCATAGTCGAGAATGGGACCGGTCTGAGAATAAAGAAGCTTAGGACCGACAATGGCGGTGAATATGAAGAGACCGGATTTAAAAAGTTCTGCTATGAGCACGGAATCAGAATGGAGAGAACCGTGCTCGGCACGCCTCGGCACAATGGTATAGCTGAGCGCATGAACAAAACGTTGACAGAGAGAGGTAGAAGCATTCAGATATAGTCAGGTCTACCGAAACAGTTATGGGCAGAAGCAGTCAACACAGCAGCTTACTTGATCAACCAAGGTCCATCGGTTCCATTGGAGCACAGAATACCAGATGAGGTATGGTGCAGAAAGGAGGTATAACTCTCACATCTCAAAGTTTTTGGTTGTGTAACTTACGTGCATATTAGTGATCAAGGCAGGAATAATGTGATATTCAACGAGAAGGTGATGTACAAGAACATGCACATGACATATGACTTAGAGAACGAGTCAATATTTGTAGATGCTGATGATGTCACGAGTAACCTCTCGGAAGAACCCAATGCAGAAAGTCCTCAGCCAGAAGAGCCTGTTGGACAGAAGGGTGCGTAGGAGCCCGACGCACCAGCTCCGATATTTTAAGTTTATGTTTAAGTCAATATTAAGTTTTTTATTGATGGTAAATTTAAGTTTAAGTAAATAGTAAACTTAAGTTAACAATATATTAGTTAACAGTAAACTTAAGTTTAAGTTTATTGTTAACTTAAACTTAACAGTAATTTGAGTTGAGAATGAGTTTTTCACTGTTGAGATGAACTTATAATTTGAGTTGCGAAGTATAAACATACAAAGAACTATTATAATTGGTAAACTAAGCAATTTGGTTAACTTTTTATATTAATAAATGAGTGGCTAAAAAGTTTGGTGGATCACTATTTCCTATCCACTTATACCATCTCCAACCCATCGCACCAAAATGGTGCAAATTTTGCACTAAAATGCTGCAAAAGTCACATCAAACAGTAATTCATCTCCAACCCACTGCACCATTTTTTGCACCCAAAAAGAATATTCTTAGTATATTCTTTTTTATCTATTTTTATATTATTATTTTTTATTCCCTATATTTTTAATTATTTCAACAATTAATTAAAATATTATTGGGGTAAAATATTATAAAATATTATTAGGGTAAAATATTATAAAATATTATTGGGGTAAAATATTATAATAAAATATTATTTTATTAATTAATATTATTAGGGTAAAACTATAAAATATTATTCTATTATTTTTATTATTGATATTACCAAAATATTACATTTAAGAACACAACAGAAAATAAAATACGGTAAAAAATAACTTGATGAACAGTAATAGGCCGATGAACAGTGTGACGCCAAATATGGCGTCGCACTGTTCATTTTCACCAAAATGGCGCAGAAAATGGGACATGGTTGGAAAAAGGAATAGTGTCGTTGCACCAAAATGACGCGAGAAATGGGGCATGGCTGGAGATGCTCGCTCAGAAACCGCTTAGGCGCCCGCCTAGGCGACTAAGCGTTGGGCGCCAAATCCAACGCCTAGAAGCGCCCAACGTTTAATGTAACATTGACACAAGGTATGACATGCTTTATTATTAGTAATGGATGCTGTTATCATTGTCTCCTGAAGTCTAGCACTGGAATTTATTAGAACCAGAAAGTCCTCAAGAAGGAAATCCAACAATCGGGAGTCCGAAGCACATCAATCCAAGGACCATTTCACTTGTCCACCAGTAGCTGAAACCTTCAAATAACGAAAACCCTGAACAGGAAAATCCCTCAGCTCGATCAAATTCAGACACTTCTCTGAAAATACGAAAAGAGCAAGGATCAAACATCGACTCCTCAATCTGAAGAAGGACAAGAGGTGCGTAGAACATCGATGAGGCCAACGCACAGGGCAGTTGAAAAGGTCAGTTCGTACAAGGAAATACCTCTCAAAGTCAAAATGCGAAGAGTTGAGTAACTTCTTTACCTCACTGAATTGAGCAGTAGCTGTCTTCTGACAACTACTGGGATTGCACTAAATGCTTTATGCCAACGTGAGTTAAGTCTATGATTCAGGCGCGAATTTGATCTTCGTCGTACTCAATACGATGATGATGTCTTGAAGAAGAAAACTCCGAAATTGAGTTAAATTATGATGCATAACTCGAGCATATACGATGAGCTCCATCTCCATCCTTTTTCTTTGCAGGCTCGTTAAACAGATTTCTGTACAATGAAATTATACAGCTTTATGACAATATATGGACATGAGCTTAAACAATGAACACCATGTTCATTGGATTTGGAAAATGCAATCCTTGTACTGATCTGCCCTCTGTTTCCGTGCAATTCTTCTCATTTTTGAATACGTAAAGAAATACGCTGACGTGATAGAGGGAGGTTTTGTTAAGTAACCCATGCAACAAATGTTACATAGTAACTTCATTATAGCAATAATTACAAAGTACATGATAAGTTAATAAGTAACTAAGTATTAGACAAATAACAAAGTGACAGTGTCCTTTCCCTTTCGATGAAGTGCACATTTAGCACCGCCGACAGACTTGAAAGGGCTCCCCATCATAAATGACCCCATTTAGTTAGTTAGTTGGTATATTAAGAAAAATGTCAGATCTCGATATTGTTTTTTTTTTATTTTAATATAAGGACCATAATCAGAATTTGAATCTAATTAATTTTAATCGTCCATTAACAGTGCACATTTCAACTAACAGTATTATGGCTAGACGAGAGAATTCTATTACTGATGCTAAGCATGTCCTAGTTAAGCGCATCAGGGCAACGATGATCTGGATTAATTTCTAAATTTAGAGGCCCGAGCACATTTGCCAAACCAACAGTACTGTACTTAATTAACTTAACCAATGGAATTATAATAAAGATTAAGTGGCTAATAATTGAAATTAAGCTCTCGACTTTTCTTTATCAAGTCCTTGCACATGGGGTCTGCGTTCGAAGAGTCCGAAAAAAAAATGGAATTCCAAGGACTACGACAGAAAGGACTACTGCTTCCTTCGATTCCACTTGATCCGTCAGATGTCAGGTCCATGTACGCGTGGCAGAAAATCGTGCGTTGTCAGAAGATGGACGGTTGTGATGCGTTCTGATAACGAATTTATTCGGGAGCCTGGCAACAGTAATCGGCATAAGACGTGATTAAAGAAGAAAATGGCGCAGGAGATTTATGCCTTTAATCACATGTGTTGCTAAGTAATCAGACAGAAATGGGTCAGCTACTTGAAAAGAAAAAAAAATATGTTGAGAGTAGAGTTACGAAGTTATGGCGTGCTAGAATGCAAATTTATATAGCTCAACACTTGTCACAATTTTGGAGTTTTGAACCATTGAAAAGAATATGAATTTTGCAATTAAAGCAATCTAGATTCAAATCTTATCGTCTATTCCTCTAAATTGGATTTAAGAAAATATCAGCGTACGAACAGGTTCCAATCATTTCAATATTCAACCTTCAGAAACATGCTGGCACTTGGTCTTTGCCATAACTTTACATACGTTAATTGTAAGTACATCGTATACGAGCAAAGAAGAGTATGCAATATTGTTACCCGGTTTATTTACAGGCGTGGAAAATAAATACGCAAAAACACATACACGTATATACCTAGGTGTATACAAGTATCCGAATTGTACTGAGATACTCATCACTACTGTTCTTGTGAGCAAAAACCAATGTGAAGCATATAGAGAGAGATCTAGATATTTTTCTATTTCCCACACAAAACTTTAACTAGCTAACTTGTTCTTTCATTTCTCATGATTAAGTTACCTACTCTCTCTAATTGCTGCAGGACCCGCAAGTCACGGCGGAGATAAAAATTTAGTTATTGAGGACATAAAAACACATGTAACTTGAATACTTCAATAATACTAGTATTTATTGCTTTCATCAAATTAGCAAGAAAACGAAGCTCACGTGAGGTTATGAATTAAGGCGCAAAAGATGTGAATGCTCGCCATGTGATCAATCAATAGAGAAATTTAAATAACAACAAATTTGTACCATTAATACACGATGCTTGTAGTTTTAGACAACAAAAACAAATTAACAGTACAAGATCCAATCTAGAGACTAAGAAAATTTTATAAAATCGAAGATATATACACATATAAGAATCTAAACTGTGGGATATTGATTAGTGGCTGACTTGTCAAGTTCGGATGAGCACTAATGTTGTCTCTAGCTTGAACGTGATGCCCTGAACTTGTGCATTAAGAACTGGGGAGATAGTGCTTCCGGTTTCTTTCCAATTAATTCATCTATGGAATCTTATATATATTAGTAATATCATGTGGAAAAATAAACTTATGATAAGATAATTAATAGGTCCTGTACAAAAAGTTATTTTAAAAACATTTGATTTTTTATCATTGTCAAAATTAATAAAGGATTTAAAACAATTCACTTTCTTCCTCAATCCAGTGTCTGACTACGTGGAATTTGAGTCCTCTTTATTTCTAGAAACAACGCACACCTTATACCACTCCTCTCAGGATTATTGGGTAATATTTTGATGATTATGATTCATTTCAAATCTATCAGTAGTTAGAATGCATTTGGTGTTATTTACTTTACATAACTAGCTACTTCCTCATCATCATGTGATAAATTCTTACATTTGAAAAAAAACCCTCATATTTGTTTATATATCGATCAGAGTAATTATACATATTTATTACATATTGTTTTGATAGAATTTATACTACAATATGTAAGAACCCATTGTCATAATAAAAATAAAAAGATTATAAGCCAGAAGAAGAGAAATAGGGAGCGCATGGGCACTTGTGCATGTTTTTCATGATTTGGTCCGATACGTGAAGGCACAGATAATTACCAAAATTAATTATTTTACATTTTTAGAAAAATTGCTTCAAGGTCCCAAATTTTAAAAGTCGGTGTGCCCCGGCCAGCCCCTCATACTTTTTGATATATGCTGCAGCCCCTAAAATTTAAAAAAATTATGCCCCAACGCGCCCTTCCATCTCATCTTTGGCCTAATTTTCTATGTATTTTACCTCAAAACCCAACTATAGCCCTCCCCAAAATCATTGTCATCTCTCTCAAGATCCTCTTATTCCCCTTCATGGCCCCTGGCCACATGCTCCCTATGCTCGACATGGCCGCTGTCTTCGTCGCTCGAGGTGTCGAAGCCACCATCCTCATGACCCCCGACAATTAATGCCTCCTCCTTCGCCATCGTCGTCTCCGGTGTCAACCTCCTCACTGTCACCTTCCACTCCGTCCCCGACCTCGAGTCCGAGTACATCAACCACTATTGAAACGTCATCGGGTGAAAGGCCTGACATATCTCGGATCCTCAGGTTCTTCAGCTGGCATTGGGCCTCGATTTATAAGGGAACGTATGTTGCTAGGACACTGAATGGACGCAATAAAGGTGTTTGATGAAATACCACATAAGAATGTTGTTGCTTGGAGATATGTTATACTATTAAATCTTGAATTCATCAAAAGAAGTAGCTCAAATTACTATAGTTGATTGACTGTTAACGTTTACATGTTTTATGTTAAATATAATTGAGAAATTGTTAATTTTAAATTATGAGAACGTAGTGTACCAAAAGTGTTGGCCTTCTTGTTTTGATGATGATTTACAAACAATTTACTACTAATGTTGTTTGTCTAGTGCTTGTATTATCTATTCATTGTAGACAAACAACGTAGTTGGAGGATGGATGGATTGCGCCATAACGACGATATCAAATGGAGGTTGGCGGAATGTCGGTGAAGCCTTGCTATTCAAAGTTCAAGATCCAAGTTAAAGCTTCATCCGCAAGATTACCTAGAAG